AACCCTCTGTCGGAGTGTTTCATTCATTGAGAGCGTTGCCGGAACAGAACCGTTTCCAAACAGCTTTTCAGCCTATTGTCTGCGACATGCTCAGCTCCTGGGGGCCGAGTGGAGAAAACTGCACTACACCTTAAAACAAACGGCAAGTAACCTCTCATTAAACATTCCTTTATCCCTCCTCAACCACCCACCCCAAACATCCCTCCCCGGCCCCCCGCCGAGAACAGCTTAGGTCATTACAGTCCGCTGTCAAAACCTGTGACCGCTCCGCGTTGGAGCCGCCAGGATTAAGGGCTGTGAAAACAAGAACAAGGAGGGAAAGGAGGTGAAAGCTGACAGAGGGAGCAAGGCCTTACATATTTTCTCTTTCTTCCCTTCTTTTTTTTGCCCCTCGCCACAGTTGACCGCGTGCTGATTCTTGCAGCTACTTTGCGGCGGACTGCACTAATGTGAAGGGATACGAAGTCACATGGAAAACACGGAGGAGGAGGCCGCTGCACTGAAAGTGAGGAGTAGCTTGAGACAAAATATAATTTCAGAGATGAAGCTCCCTGCTTTTGTTTTGACCTGTTTGGGCCTTTTGCAAATGAATGAGGTACTTTTTTTAATACTTGGTTATGCGTTTCTCACTTTAAACTGTCTGAATCCCGTGAAGCTCATGAATCTGGGGGATCCAGATATGCTATAATAAAAGACTTTTATTCTTTCTCTTGGTTTGTTCTTTTCACGTCTGCAATGATCTTGGTCTTTGTTTATTTAATTTTGTCACAGTTACCATTTTCTTGCATTGCTAACAGAGACCAGAAAGAAGACATCACGCTCCCTTCACACAGAAGCCACTTGAATTAGCCTCTGCCTACAATCTCTGGCGTAACAGCCATTGAGGGGTGATAGAGAAAGTGTCAATAATTGAGCACTAAATGGGATTCTTCTCAGGAATTCAGCACAGGCCCCCTGTTCCTGAACAGCCATGAACACCATTTTGCTAACCCAGTCAGCGGTAGTGACTTCGCACACACTTATTTAAATGAAAATCTCTGACATCATCGCTCTGAGGGCGTGTGGGGGCGATTAATGTTATGCACGTTTGTGTTTTTACAGGCAGCAAATTGCATTCTGAACCATACACGAAGGGTTTGAAGGGTGGAGGCATCAGACGCGTGTTAGTGTGCTTCTCTTGCTGTATAAATGCGACGCTATCTGAAAAGAGAGATCAAGCCATGCAGGACAGCAGCAGTCAGCAGCCGTGGGGAGAATATTTGACTTTATCTCAACCCTTTGCTTCCACGTTGACACCATGAGGAATTTCCAATTTCGGCCCAACAAATCATCCTCTTTCCTTTCCCTTCTCACCGGAGAAAGCACGGTTTCCCCTCTTTAAAAACGCACCGTCTTCACTGGATGCACGTTTTTTCACCTCTCCGTTATGAATCAGCTCCGGCAAACCGACAGCAGGAAGCTGAACCGCGGCTTTGATTACCCACCAACATTGATTAGAAATGCGCGTACAGTCATGTTTGTGTTTGGACCCGCGGGCCTGTTTGGTGTTTTATTTACCGTCACCTTTGTGCCCGGAACTCTGTTAATCCTCTGTTTGTGTTCAAACACCTTAGCTGGAGCCCCTGCGCCGCTGTGTCTCCTTGCTGGCTGCTGCGAGCAGTCTGTGCAGCCTCCTGCCTGTTACTGGACATGATTGACAGGGAATAGTTGATCTGTGTGTGTGTGTGTGTGTGTGTGTGTGTGTGTGTGTGTGTGTGTGTGTGTGTGTGTGTGTGTGTGTGTGTTCGTTGCTGTGCGCGTCTACTTTACTTTGTCTCCATCTGTCTGCCTGCCTGTCGGTCTGTGAGTTAACGAGGACGACTTGAACATCTTCATGAAAAGCACTATTTGTTTGGCAGGCTGGTCTTTATTTGATTTATTCATGATGTGCAGATAAATATAATAAATGCAAATATCTTGAGTCCTATGAAGACTGTTTCTAAGAAGGTTGTTGCCAGGAGGTTATGGAGGCTTATCATATTGATCAAAATGACAGAAACTGTTAAAAGCTTTAACACAACTTTCACTGCCTTGCAACTGAGAGCTAACGGCGCTCCTCGGGCCCTTCGGGGGTCACCCGCAGGCCCCGTGCCCCAGCCCCTCGCCTCACCCCGCGGCTGAATGGTACCCCTGATTATCTCATAACTTTGCTGGATATTCCCTCATCTCCCCTTTAAAAAGGGCCGAATTACTTCCAGCTCCCCAAACTTGTCAAAACCAATTTGCCTTCCTATTATTCCCTCAACACTACCCCTCCTCTCAGCCCTCCCTCAACAAATCCTCCCCCCTCGATCGAAAAA